AGATGTGTATAAGAGACAAGTTTTTGGTATTTTTTTTAATCATTTAAAAAAAAAAAACTTTTGTAGAACTTCTGTATTGAGGTATATGCTCAATGCTTTTTCCTTTGGACATAGCTTTTGAATAAAGATGAATATTTCTTGTATATACAATTAAGGTTGTTATTCCTATCTGCTCATTTGTCTCAAAATGCTTTTGAAAATTGTGGATGCTACAGCATAAAGCAATACTGTGCTACATATGAATTAAATTTACTACTGCAGGATCAAAGATGAGCTTTATTACTAGCTTTGAATTTATACACTATTGAATGTACAGTCGAGTGCGTAGAATTCACGAACGCACATCGGTAAGTGACTACTGTATTATAAAATACTGTAGCTCTAAAATCATATAAAATCTGTAAACTTGTCATGTTTTGACCTGCCTGATGTGTTGTACCGAGTGCTTAGTACGTTCCCAAATACTAGCATAAAAAAATCTTGCAGGTGATTCAGGTGAAAACGAACCCACGACTTCCAGATAACTAACCTGGTGTCATAACCACTGGACCACCGAGCTTGCGCTTAGTGACAATCCCTAAGTAGCAGCTGCATTGCTATTTCGATGTTGTTTGCTTCAGAAAATTGAGTAGGAGTGATATTTATGCCCTACCTGAGTGGTCAGGTAGGGTGAGCACATCACTCTTATTAAATTTCTTTATTTAGGTCAAAAACAAGAAAAATTCTTGTGTTGGCCACGTTTTGGGAAAATCCCCCCAAAAAATAGGTTGGTCGGTAGGAAAGGTTTTTTTTTGTTTTTTTTTTTGTATTTATTCAAATAATCTATTTTTTACCAATGTGTTTATCACAATAAGTAGAAAATACACAATACAACAAAGACCATTTTTAAATCTACCTTGAAGAGCAAAGCGGCCGCATAACACTGTCGCGTCACCTATCGTCCAGCAAGATAGGCCTATTCCACCCTTTTTAGCTCGTAAAAATATTTTTCGTAGTCAAAAAAAAAAAGAATAAAATAGAATGAGATATAAAATGCCGAACCTCAATTTCGTACATTTTGGGTCAGTCGGGCGTGGCCAACAATATTTTGTTTTATTTGGCCTCAAAGTCGAAATATTATCTTGTATTAACTTATTAACTGTGTTTACAGCAAAACTATCTACTAACTATGTCTAGTAGCTATCGTCTACGTCTATAGCCTCAGCCACGGAGGCTCAACATGCAAGCCTGCAAGCTAACGTAGCAAATCAAAAATATTTAGGAAGCCAACAAATAATAACGTGAACAGAACCAGGGCTAACAATTTATAGAATAGAATATAATTTTCAATTGATGGATATAGTAATTTTGTTTAGAACTTGCTTCAGTATTTAATTATATTTATACACATTTTCAACAAAAAGATTTGTTTTGAAACACTCCCTTCCATCTCTGAAAAACAAACCAGTCTGTTCCTTCACACATCAATTACACCATATTTGTCTTAGAATACACATTACTGACGTACTTTCTTTGATTCTAGTAAACCAGCCATCGATGCCATTCAGTTCAGACTACTGTAAGATAGAGGACGCACTCTCTGTCACAAAAATAAATTTTGAATACCGTAAAACCTCGAATAGAAGCCCCATGGGCTTATCCTCGAGAAGAAGCCCATATCTCGAAAAATATGGCCATGGGCTTCCAATCAAGATAACATAGGCTTCTTTCTAACATTTAGACTGACGTTATCGCTGATGATTATGATAGCGTGTCAGTATCAGTAGTATTTTATTGTACAGCATGGTTATAATTTAAAGAATTAAATAGAATTTCGAATTCCATAATTGAAAAAATGTCGTATAGTAGCAATTCCAAAATTTACAGCATTTGCTTTGAAAACAAGCCCGTCTTTTTAGTTTGCAAAAGTAATTTAGAACAGAAGACCATCCCGGAAAGAAGCCCATCCTAGGGCCCTAATAAATGAAAAATCCCGGGCTTCTATTCTAAGTTTTACGGTAGCTCATTTAATGGGATCAAACAAGTCCTTGAACAGTGGCGGATCTAGGGGGTGAATAGGGTGGCTAGCCAACACCCCCCCCCCCCCACCTTCGGTGACTTCGAAAAAGAATATAGTCACCCGTCTTGTGTGTGTGCTTCTCATGTATGTTACATGTAGGCCTAGTAGGCTACCGTACTCTCTTAAAACATAAACTTAACAATTTTAAGCCTACTTCTTTCCAGATTTCATCCAAGATCGTCTAGCCGTCTGCTAATTCTAAAAAAATCTCAAATGGAATAGGATGCCTCTCCCTAAGCCCATGATCAAGGAGGGACAGGGGGACACGTCCCCAAATATTGTTAAGGGGGTGGGGGTTGGTTTCTCACTTTTCGTCCGCAATGTAATAATTTCATAAGTTAAGAAGATGCCTGAAAATTTTAAAATGAACTGCATAAATGACCCAGGTTTTAACGAAAGTGTGCTGTACAACCGGTACTTCTCTGCCCACAAACATCTGAATTACTTATAATACACGACTCGCGCGTGCCTTTATTATAATTTGAGAAGTATGAGAATAAGTGTGTAATAATAATAATAAGATTGATTTTAAACACATAAAAGTAAATTAAAAATACATCAAAGACAATTTAGTTTTATTTTCAATGGAACATCACAGCGATTAATTTAATCGATGATGAGGAATTTTATTATAAAACAGTGTCATTACCTGATAATCTGGAGGTACAAGGCCCTATTTCCCCAAATGTTCCCACCTCAGCCCTTTTGTGAACTAGTGGCTTTGAAGTAAGTAGGCCTGAATTAAGTACATCAAAGACAATGTTTTTAATATTTATTTTCTATAGTACATCACACCGTATTAATTAGATATGGATGTATGGTTGCCGAAAATCGCTGGTAAACATTATGAGACATTTGTTGGCGCTTCACTTTTACTATATAATGGTGATGTGATGACGATGAATTTTACTATATAAAAGTATAATTTCCAGTCATCTAGAGCTACTATTTCCTAAACGTCCCCTCACCTTTCGAAACAGATCAGCGCCCTTGTCAAAACCACGCCCCCTCCCCCATTGGTGCTTCGCAAATCGCATTATCCCCACCACCCGTTGCTAAATCCTAGATCCGCCACTGAACTTCCTACAAAGAATCGAAAAATTATTACTTCAAAACCAACCAATAAGGCTCTATGAAAAAATGACAGGAAAGGACTTGACTTTACTGACTGTCCGTTAATGACGACTGCAAAAAACAAACAAAATATTACCCAACCACCGAAATTCGCTCCCAACCGCGATGCATACCCGCTCTACACCTGGTAACTTTTTGCTGTCTATGCAGTCGCCTTAACCAAACTGGCCAACTAGGTTTTGTGAGAATTCGAATCACATTAGAAGCATCCGATTTTGCACACTTTATGCTGTCAAGTACTAGTCTTAAAGTTCATAACAAACCCATGTATGCGGTAGAAACATCCATTTTGCATTTAAACTGCTACGGTACGGTATCTGAGAACATGACCATAAATACACTTCACTGAACGTGTTCACATCATTTCTTATTCCCACAATAAAACCACAGATGGATGTTCTAATGAATTCTCCAAAACGAATAAACTCACCGCTTTGAATAAACGCCCCCTCCCCCCTCGAATGAACTTTCCCTCTCGAGCCTCATTTAGAATAAATGCCTCCATCGAATAAACACTCCGAGGCGTTTATTTTTTCCCGATTAAATGCCCCACCCCCTCACACACCCCACCCTTACCACACCTAAATAACTGTAAACAAAGCTATAGATGGAATAACAATAAACGCCTCCCTCGAAACACCCTTCAACAGTAAACGCCCGGGGCGTTTATTGGAATAGATACTGTAACATTATATAATTAAACTAGTACAGTATGTGGCTGCATCGGCTTCAATTAATAATAAAATTCATAATGCAAAAAGTAGACATATTCACGATAATAATAAATTATTATCTTTTATAAATCTCTTATTTAAAGATATCATTATTTTTGTTTGTTTAATTAAGTATCTTCTCTTTAATTCTTGATTATTTCCAATTTTTTTTTCTCTTTTTAGTCATTTTTTTTTCTTTTTGTTAATTTTTAGTTTTAATGTTTTTCTCAATTCATTACCGGTATTCTTTTTTTTCTGATTGTTTATATTTCTGTTTTTCATTTAATTAATTTGTTAAAGATCTAGTTTGATTTGTATTCTTTTGTCTTTAATTGTATATATTGAGGGTCCCAGTTGATTAGCTCTGGATGGATGCACCACCCTCACGAAATATTGTTGAAATAAAATAAAATAAAAATTGTATTTTATCAAAATCCTAGAAAATAAAAAGTACTACAAATTAAGTCATTTAAATAAATAAAAACTGAAGTTCTTGTAATAATTAGGGCAATAATCACTAAAGTCAACGGCCCTCCTGTCATGTTTCATAAACCGAATCATTAGCCATATAAAATTATAAAATGAAAAATATAGTAGGGCCTACGCGCTCTAATTTCAATTGTTTGCTGGTGTAGCCACCCATACTGGAACCACAATACATGTCTGCTCCAAGTTCTCGCAGATGTCTAATAAGGTTTTTTTTTACAAGCATGATGTGCAGGTAGTGCCAAACCTGCATTTTATTTCATTTTTTTAAAAATTTATTTTTATTAGGCCTACTATTATTATTTTATGCTGACCATTTTCATTTTCGGTTGAGGAGGTATTTGTTTCATCGTGTTTTACACTGAATAAATTAGCTGTAAAATATTTTGACAAATCAATTAAAATGAAGGTCATAATCATGGAAAAACGATAAAATCGTAATGGTAACAACGATTTATCGTATTTCGATGATTATGACGTCATTATTTGAATTGATTTTTATTATTTATTTTATTTTTTTAAATTTTGTTATCGTATACACGACAAATCGTTATCGAATTGTCCTAGCTTAAAAACTTCTCTTGTTTTTTATATGAACAATTGCTTTTCAGCTTCTTATCGTTATCGTTGCAAGTTAATAAACAGGCTTTTTAGAGATGCAGTTTGGAGTGCTTGACTCAATGGTCATGGACTTACTTAAAAACTCCAACTTTGCTTTGACGCGAGTTGTATTTGTTTTTCAAAATATTAAGTTACGTCTACTCAAATCGGTCTGTAGTACTGAGTGGAAGATTTAATCTGTATCTTTTCATGAATAGAATAAGCAAATACATCATATACTGCTTTCTTGTGTACATGTAGGTCTACCCGGTCGATAGAAAGAAAGTGGTTTTTATTCAAAAAGTTCAAAATTATTCAACTTGAGGGCGCTGGTTATAGACGTCATCGACGATGCCACGAGTTGCGACAGAGCACTCAAGTAAACAGTGTATGCGCATTGATCTATCTATATAAAAGACATATTAAGGATAAATCAGAAATATTTAACAAGATATATTTTAAATGTGATTAAACATGTTGGAACATTTATAGTTTAAATTTGTATAATTTTATGTTGTTGTATGTAAAATGCATGGATTTGATATTTGCGGAAGAATATTTTCTTGCAATAAGTCTCCTGTCGGCCATCTTGAAAGAAGGAGTGGATAATTTATTGTGAGAAGACTGTTTTGATGATATAAGTCGTTTTATCATTGAATGCGACTTTCTATGGTTTTTATAGGAAGGTATTGTTTGCAAAATATAATTTTCATCCAATATAGGGTATTTTGTTGCATGATTGTGTTATTATACGGTATACTTTTCCGTGATTTGTACGTACTTAGGTGTGTGTGATTGGTTGAATGAGATGATCACCAGGCTCCGGTAGGCTAGGCTATGCGCGGTTTTCGCCGGTTGCAATAGGTTACCCCATCTGGTGACAAGGAACACCAACTTCCGGTAAAGTAAGACGATCAAAACTCAGAAGTGACACTTTCATAATTTCCTCTGAAAAAAACATATTTCTCCTTGAAAAGTGTATTTTTTACGACCTTTTTTAACGCCCAACAAAACTCGATCATCATAACCGTGATGTGGTAGGCCAGTGCTGAAGGCGCTGATGAAAGTTTGGAGCGAGCTACCTAGGCCTGGAGGCCTAGCTTGCAAGCAACAAGCGTATTGCTTTTAATGATATTTTATCTATTTTTGTGTAAATAATTTAATAACACAGTAGTTGTTAAGTTTAAATTTAAGTGAAACTGCAAAACCAAAAAAAGATGATGCAGAGGGAATAAAAGATCAGTCACAATAAAATAGGCTAGAAAAGGGGACGGGAGGCTAGGCCTATGCCTAGGCCTAGTAGTGAATAAATTCTTTGTTAGGCCTAATTGTTTTGAATACACCATTTGTTGCACAGAATTAAGACCTTTGTAGAAGATGATGATTTCGCATCGCAACGATTTTTGATAGATGGTAGTTCAGAGAAGTGTGCCGAGTTTACTGTTTTTGAGTTTACAGTTTTTGTGTACTAATAATAAACATGACGGCTAGAGAACTCGGAAGAAAATGGGGTAGGCCTAGGGCCTATTTATACTGAAAACAAGAGCCTGCCTCTTTCGAGACCCCTTAATTTTTAAGACCACCTTTTAAAGTAATGATATAATATGTCGGCCTAAATAACGCTTCATGCATAAAACCTTCAAGCGCTTCACATTACTACCCCGGTCATTGGATCAAACACGTATGAAACACCTACACAATTCCCTGGGGAGAATTCCATAGTATTGCAGCAAGTAATCAGCGCAGTTGTGTTCGAACCTACCAGGTACCACTTGTACTCCTGGGTGGAGAGAGGCAACCGTAGAAAAAGTGCCTTGCCCAAGGACACAAGCAATTTGCACAGCAAGAGTTACGAACCCACAACCTCGAGGTTGGGAGTCCAAGTACCAACTAACAATCTTCAGTCTTCACACAATGCTAATGCTCTAATTTGGTGATTGATTTCCGAGACCATAATGGAGTGCACCCTCCAGTTGGAGACCCCTCTAATCCTGGGACCCCTGTAATTCGAGACTACTTTTACAAAGAACTAAATAACATTTTTCAATCTATTAACATTAAGCTACTGAACAGTACAGTAAAACCCTCCGTGTGGAGACCGAACTCCAAGACCATCACAAGTTGTCAGGTCCCAAAGGTGTCATTGATATGCCATAATATCAGTACTTGAAAGCCTTGTGTTTGAATTATAAGTGTTATTGCAATTATTCATTCTGAGGAACATTGGAGAGTTGTGTTTTTTTGTAATCTAAGAGTAAATTAGTTTGGGAAGTAAGCAATTATTTTGGATTTTTATTGTGTTATTAAAGTCACTGTGTTTTATGGATTTGAGAATGTGGCCATTCTTATCCCAATCCCATTTAGCTAAATACTGTATCAGTGGAAATGTGATACCATTCCAGTTTTCTTAATTCTTGTTGGACATTTGAGCATCTTTTGAAAATCTATTAAAAACTATCAAACTCTTATTTATTAAATAATGATGATGATAATGCTTAATAATAATAATAATAATAATAACAATAATAATAATAATTATTATTATTATTATTATTATTATTATTATTATTATTATATTATAAATGTACAAGGTAATGTATAGCAACTACAGTAAGTCTCAGTTTTTGGTTGTCACCACATAGATATGGAATATATTTTAAGTTATTGAGCTGTTTAAAATGCTTTGTAAATGTTATATAGATTTACTTTCAAAATATGCTTGGTTTTAGTGTTTATGTTGGATTATTTTCTCATAGGCTTATGTTGCTGAATTTGGCATTGACCCAACAAAACCCTCAATAAACCTAACTCTAAATAATGACGGAAGGTGCATTACCATTGTAGCCAAAACTTCCAAATTCAGCATTTTCAAATTCATACCAAATTCCTGAGAGAAATGTTTAGAAGGGAATTTACACACGAATGATTATTGTAATTATTGAGACCTGATAGAAAATTCATAAAAGAATAACAGAGAATTTGAAGTTGTTATACAATGTAAAGTTAAATTAGTGATAAATATAAAAAATGAATGAGCATTGTAAACTTGCAAGCTAGTTTTGACTCTTCACGTTTTAAAGTACAAGGGCATTTCTTAGACTAATTTAATACTAATAATTGGTATAATTTTAATATCTAAAAACAACTTTTTCCAAATTCATTATTTTGAATATTTATTATTCTTGCAGTAGATGTATCAGTATGCAAATTGAATATGTTAGAATATGTTCTTTTCTCTTTTAGGTTCTGCAGTTTTCTTTATTAACTAGGTGCAAACCATTTCCAAACATCGCAATAGACAAACAACATGTCAATTTTGCAGACGTTGGAAGAAAAGGTACGTAAATTTGCTGTCAAGAAGGTGCAATTGTGATTTGCGTGTTATACACATATTTAGTGCAGTGTATATTGAAGTATGTGATTGTGAGCAAATTAACAAGCACCAGTAACCATCATCATCTCGGATATATTTAAAGTAATTTAATGCTATGGTCGGCAACATTTAACCTGTAGGACCCAAAATGAGTTTGCCATAGCCTCCCACGACTAAATGCCTCTAGTATCCCACCCCTAGAAAAACTACAATATATTGCCAATATAATAATCAAAATATTGTGTAGTAATTTGCCTCTCCATGATGCGCAATCTCCTGGTAAACCACTAGCAGCACACACAGTGTCAATAAGCAGCTTTCGATTTGGACGACGCGGCATTCTACGGCGGGCAGTGGAGCGTGAAATCTGACTGCGCATGCGAATACATGGGGAAGTCGTTCGTTGTGTGGATTTGACAACGGGCTTAAAGCGATTTGGTGTTATGTTGACTACGGCAACGTGAGTTTTATAAATGCGCGCTTGCTGGGGCGCCTGCATAATTAATCATGCGATACGAGGGAGCGCGTCGTCCTGTAAATCGAAACAGCTATGATGTTGAGATGGGACGTGCATAGTACGACGTTCATGGTTGACTGAATTCCCCGTCGCAGCTCCAAGCGTCGCCCATTTTGAAAGCTCGCTATTGTAAATAAGGTGACAATGAACGGGACATTTAACATAAATTTATTAAGAAAATTATTTAGTTCGATGTTTTCATAGGAATCTTATTTTTTTAGTGTTAATTGCAACACTTTCTATCATTTTTATAACCCAGATTTGACTTAACGACCCTCAATAGTACATCCACGACCCAAACCTGGGTCGTGACCCATAGGTTTGCCGATCTTGATTTGATGTTATACAAAGTATGATAATCATCCAATCAGAACTGGTTATAAATATATATTGTAATTTATTAGTCCCAAAATATTAAAACAGTTTTCACTGCAAATTTTTAATACTGAAGACTTACATTAAAAATAATTATGCATGAACTTGTTTTTTAATCATAAATTTATAAAAAAAATTATCAGCACTTCTATTTCTTTTATGAAAAGTGATAGCCTGAAAACAATTTTTAGTACATTCCAGTTTCGAGCACTCCATGGTAATTTATGAAAATTTAATCAGCACGTTATTGTAGAGTAGAAGTTTCTGTTTTTTTTCTATGTGATTGATAGGAATAACCAACATTTTTTGAGTTCATATTGTTCAAAAGCAGATGTACAATACAGTAACAGTCAATTTGTTTCACTTACTGTTTCATTATTCACCTCTATTCAAATTAGAGGAGGCTCTTCTCTGTCTATATATAATCATGCTTGCTTTATGATTTTTAAAAAATATTTTCAACCATTGATCATTTGTAGGTTGACTCTAAATTATATGATTATAATCTCTGTTGATAAGACAGAGGTATGATCAATATATTTATGTTGCTTTTTTACCATTGCCTTCTTCCTGATTTTTCCCACTGTGTCAGAGAAACTGATAGCAATTGGATATTAAGTTGTTGCTCATTCTTCGATTAAACAGGTTGCAAAGGTAAAGTGTAGTTGTTGCATGTAGTTTGTGGCATGTTAGTTTCTGGTCCAGCATGGTAATCTTGATTGTATGTTATGTACAGTGGCATCGTCCATATACCAACGTGATCAGTACCAAAGCCAGTGCTGTAAATTTGTTTCCTTATTTGTAGCAGGTTGTTAGTTGTATAAAATGATGAGTAAATTATTCTTGCTCGCCCAGTCACTAGATTAAAAACATGTATATTGTATATAAACTTGGTAAAACTTTCTTTCAAACATTTTATTAAGAATTTAAGAAGAATTGGAAATGTTGAAATACAATCTAATTAATTATCTCATAGAATCAGATTCATGCTTTAACTGCATCGATCTTTCATTATTATTTATACTGTAGGCTAATGTTAGATCAATAAAATGATGACTAAATTATTCTTGCTTGCCAGTCACTGGAATAGGAAACGTGTATGTTCTATATAAAAGCAAAACTTTCAAACTTTTTATTAAGAATTTAAAAAGAATTGGAAATGATCAAATATCGTCTAATTAATTTATCTAATAGAATAGATTCATGCTTTAACTGCATCAACCTTTCATTATTATTAAGTAGGCTAATGTTCAATATAGTTGCCCATGACCAAATTTCTGTGTTAAGTATCAGATTACTGCATCTTCAAACAATTCATGTTTAATAAGTTTCTTATTTAAATGCAAGGTCTGTTCCAGGTACTTTGCAAATATTCAACAGATCTAAGTGTCAGTCTTCACTGAAGGTAATTTCAAGTGCTGTGGATCAGTGGTATATTTTCATCATCATACTTTTTATCACATTCTCAGCACCATGGTTTTTTTTTAATTGTTAATTTATGTAGCATATTTTTGCTACTACAAAACATAATCATCATGGTCATTATTACCATGATATTATCACTTACGCAATTTATCACTGCCTCTACATCAGCTTCGTCATTACCATAATAATATTCCATACTTCCATAATCGTCATTTCCTTCTCAGCTTCATTACCATCATCATTCTTATATTAGCAACAACAAAAACAACAATGAGCATACATTTAAATATATGTATAGTACATTGTACAAAACTCACTTAGCTAATGCATGTCTGCATGGTTTTACAGTATAGTAGGCACAAATTCAACCAGTTATAAACTGACTGATGTATTGTTGCAACTTAACATTAATATGCCTTTTTGGTCATTTTTATATTATGGTTTTCTTTCATTAGCAGACACTGCATCTATTCATTAATAAAACTTTATGATGGCATTAATTTTATTATATTTCTCCTTCACCTGGGTACCTCTCAATTAGAACAGTTTTCTAAACCAGAAAAAGTAAAGCAGTTCTCTCATTCCTCATCATCATGTTGATGTTCAGTATTCCTAATAATACAATTTAGCAATGTGTGTTGCATGAAGGCAACTAAGTAATTCTTAAAGACAACGTTAATTTGGCCAATTACATTTCAGTTATTAGGTCTTATAAACTAATTATGTATAATGCATGATTTATTTAATTGCTTTTACCTAAAGCTGTTTCAATTTAATGAGGATGTTTTCCTGTCTGAAAGAAATATTTTTATGGATGCACAAATGTGGAATTTGTTCACCGAAGCACAGTTAATATCGTTTAATGGGTTGTACATTCGGCTCACAAACTATAAGTGTGTTTTTAATCCAACACTGCTGTGAGATACTGCATTTCTTCCTCAGGTGTGTTCATAGAATAATAAGTTACTTTGGATGTTATGTTTACCAGACAATATTAATGAGATTGAGGATGTTGTCCTGTCTGAAAGAAATTTTTTTATGGATGCACAAATGCGGAATTTCTTCACCGAAGCACAGTTAATATCGTTTAATTGGTTGTACTTTCGGTTCGCAAACTATAAGTGTGTTTTTAATCCAACAATTCTGTGAGGTATTGCATCTCTTCGTCAGATGTGTTCATAGTATAAAAACTTATTTGGGATGTTATATTCACCAGACAATATTAATGAGATTGAGATACTCCCGCAAGGAGCTGAATAATATGTTTCATATACTTGATGAAATGCGTTGTTGTAATTATAAGCATAGCATCACTATCATTGTACTAGTTCTATATATTCAGAGTTTCAGACCGACACTTTATATCTTGCTTGTTATTAGAAAGCGATAGTAATTTATTTGAGTTATTGATAGACGGCTGTACAACTTATAATTTAAATGAAAATGTCTCATTATACATAATGCCCTGTAGACATGTATCTACTATAATTATTTTTAATTGAAATAATTATGTTCAATTTAGTAGAGAAACATTGGTTGTTTGGTTGGTCTAGATTACATTAGGCGCATCTAACATGTAGAAATTCTGCGTTATACTGTAGTCTACTACATATTTGATCTAATAGATAGTGATTATAACACTACTAATATCAATTTAATATAAATATCAACTACAATAAGTTAGTAATATATAATAATAATGATAATGAAATATAACAATTATCATTGTGTCATTAAGTCATCTTTTTATTTTTCTTTTTTTAAATTTTATTATTTGTCCACAATGCTAACTAATAGAATTTCTCTGGGTTCCAGTTTATATTTATTTTATCATCTAAAAGTATATTCATTTGTATCTTCTTCAGGGTCATGAACTTGTTCAAAAGTTTCATGAAAATTTGGTATGCTGACTTTGTCATATTTTAGGAATCAGGCTTTAAAACAAGGTCAAAATATGGAAATAAGAATTTTAAGATTGATATCGTTATTATTTACGATCAATTCCTGTATACAATGGACCCAGCAGGTGGTAGATTTTGGGTTTTGGACTTGACATGAGATGATATGAAGGTCAGTAGGGTTGTTCCCCTTTTTACAGGAAATGATCCATTGTGTCTATGAGTACAGTACTGTAGGTTCCAGGGAGTCTTTATACTCTTGGATAAACTAATGAATGTGTATATTCTTTGTTTTCTTTGTATTTTTGTAATGACATGGCCATATGTAGTTCCTGGTATATGCACCTCTTTATGCCTCAAGTCCTATAACTTGAACTATAAGTATTGCCTTTGTGTGATATGCTGTATATAGTTACATATAATATATAAAACAGTATAAGTCTCAAGTTAGAAACCTTTTATACAATGCAACAAAAAGACTTGCATGAAAATTTTTAAGCAATTTAGTTTTAGGCTTTTTTTGTTTTGCCACAGCTGCTTGTTATATTTTTTTTTCCTACTAGTTTTAACACCTTTACTATGATTTCTTCCAAGTCATGCAGTTTGGATTGTTGGTTAAAAGCTTGCCTGTCGCATGGCCAGATAGTGTAAAGTACATTGATGGATGGTGAATGTGCTGTGTTTATGCTATGGATGTGGCTAATGAATCTGTAAAAAGTACTTAAGAAATAAGACTGCTCAATATGATTGAATATTTGTGTACTTGGCTTGTTTGTGATTCATTTTTGTAGTAAATTGTAATGTGTCTCAATATGAAATTTAAAATTATCCAGATGTAATGGTAATCTTCATTAAATTAAAATGAAGAATGAATTTTTTTCTTAACAAATATGACAGTAAAATTCTATGCAGTGTAAATTAGCTTTCTAAGTACGTGGATAATCACATTGTTATTGAGTATATTGAGAAGAATAATAATTAATAGTTTGCCTAACTCAAATAATTTCTAAGTTGAATTGCAAATAATTCCTAAGTTGAATTGCAAAATTGTTGTCTTTTCCATCAATTCACGGTCTGAAAGTCGAAATTTTCAATGCCATTTTTATTCGACTTAGGCAAGTTCAACTGTAGTCATAATAATAATGGTAAAAATAAGTTTTCTTCAGTGACGTACTTGTCCATATATTCTTAAGTTTTATTCCAAAAGCATAATAAACTAAATTGTAAATTGTAGTAGGAGTGGAAAAATAAGTAAATAGAAATAATACAGGAATGAGCACTACTTGAAAAGAAACAAAATTGTGAGAGTGTAGAGCGTACATATAATAGAATACATACTGATGATCATTCTTCTAGCTGCTAAAATTGTAAATATGTTCATGTTGTGATTCTGGATGATTAATTAGTATCAACAACGTATCTTCGGTTTTTGACAGATAAGTGCTGTGAAATGGTGTAGTAATGCAATAGTTACAGCATTTCCAATCTACTTATATTGTCTTCAGAAAACTGAAGCAATAAGAATGCTGTCTGGTTTCTATGGTGATAAAGATGTGTGTTTTCCATGTGACATTCGGTAATATTACAACCAACGGACGTTAATTCTCCTTTATATTTATTATTTATCTTACTAAATCAAGACTACAAAATATTATTTGATGAACAATCTTTTCACATGTGTGTATTGCCATTCAGGACATCGTTTTTTGACATTTTAAATGAGGTAAAATAATTATAAATGAAAAATAAGCTAGGCCTAGGCTAATTAATTAAAAAAATAATACAGCAGTACAAACAAGTTCCTGTCGTGGACAGCAAGTGGAAGAGGAGACTCTCATGAAGTCAAGTGTACGTTTTTCTTATTGAAAAACAGTTCCATACTTTAAATTAACGATCTAAACTTGTGTTTGCCATTCACAAATTATCAAACAATACATTGTTTATTCCAGTAAGATATAGCAGTCTTTCTGCACATACAAATAAACAACATGCTTTTGCTTCGTATGTTCGCTTCACGTAGCCTTGCTTAGATTGTTTATATCAGGCTACGAAGCCTGCGCGCAGGTTAGATTGTTTATTTCAGGCTACGATGTATCTACGAAGCCTGCGCGCAGGTAAAAGTGCAATATTTCATGACTGTACTGTAGGTTGTCTTAATTACTGTGCATGTGTGTTAATGGATAATGCATAATGACGATGCCTGCTTCCTCATCAATTTGTATTAATATCCTTATGCCATTGTATTTTCACTTTTTATCTGCAATATCTAATTTTATTGGGTAATAACTAAATGTATAACAGTTGAGGATGGATTTGATTCACACAAATTGTATTGTGCAACAATATTATGGAATTTTGATTTTAAATCATAGTAATGATAGAATGCTTGTAGAACGCCTTCCACAATTGAATCTTCTCAAGGCGCTGACGGTATTTATAATGTGAATCATATTCGTGAAAAAAAAATTAATTTGTATACCTGTCAACCTTGAGAAATTTGAAAGGGTAAGATCTGGTGACATAATGAGTGCTGAAAGCACGAACAGTGGCTGGGGGCCAGGTCTGCATTTGTGTACATACTATATATATTTCTCCTCTACAGTGACATGAATCACACAAACCAGTACATAGTAGGTCAGGCGTTGTGCTGCTTAGGGGGTGTATGTTCAACGGAGATGAGTCGAGATTTAGCTGGTGAAATAGAGAAACTCCTTAAAACAGCAAATGCATATATCAAGAAAAAGGCAAGTGTTTTTATGTTTATTACTGTGTTGGCCTCTACTTGATATAGTCCTTGAACCTAAGTCATGTAGAGAGGGAGGTCATGTTTCGAACATTGTTTAAGAATGAATGTAATTTTATAATAGTTCCTGTTTGAAGCAGGTTCAAAGAGGAAGATCATGTTTCAAACATTGAACCAACTGCCAGTTGCCTCAAGGGAGGCATTTGACGCAGTGCTTGCTAATGAGTTTTTCAGCCTCGTGGCTGGGAGTTTGAGTTTCGTGCTGTCCACTTTCAACCAGGGTTAGATACATAGTGTATAGTGGACAGGCTGTAAAAATGGTTCACGCTATGTTCCAGCCTTAAATGCATGTCAGCTACAGTCCCTGGCTTTGTTTCAGACAAACAAAATCAGGTCCATCTTTTGCGAGGCCTTGCTATAGGATTAAACCTTTGCCCTGCATCCTCTAATAAAGAAAAAAAAACATACACAAGGCTAATTAATTTTGGCTAGCCTGGGCTTTGAATTTTCACTGTGGTTCGCAATCTTGAATTTGAGGAGTTGGTTGATAACTGGTGTAGAGACTGCACCCTAAATTTAAAGATTATACACAGGAAAATACTGTATATTGGGCCTATTTTATCTGTCTTTTTTGTATTGTGGATTATCAAATCCTTGGTTCAAGTGATATAAGAAAACAGGATTTTTTTCTCATGACAAATAATAGCTTCATTTTCCAAGCCTAATGTACTTAATAGGTTCCCCAATTTATATAAGAAACAAATTAATAATAAAAAGTAAGTACATGTTTGCAGGCATGTATGTAGATGTTTTAGCATGGTTGATTTACCTTGGATAAATTATGCATCATATTTTAAAAAATAAGCTTGACATAAGCTGAAGAATGTCCTTGGCAGGTAATGCCAGTGGTTTGATTAGGTATTCCATTAAAATATTTTCCATTTTAATTAGTTTACTATAAAAAGACTAAATATATAATGTATTGTTAGTGGATATAGTAAATAAATTAACGTTTTCAGTGATTTTCTATTGATTCTGTAGGCTGCTCTGTGTGCTTTGCGGGTAGTAAGGAAAGTTCCTGATCTGATGGAGATGTTTATCCCAGCTGCAAGACCGCTCTTAAACGATAAAAGTCATGGTAAATTCATTTTGATTAAAGTTATAAATCTGTTTAGTAATCTGCCATGGTGAAATGATGGTTTGCTTGAACTACTAGAATTGATGGATATAGCATTGAGTAGTAATATACAAATACAATGTCGTTTGAGGTGAAGTAGTGAATTCTACTTCCCGATGATTGGGACGAACTCCTGACGCGAAGCAGTGTGAGGCAGTCCCAATGAACCAACGATGAGGAAGTAGATCTCACTGCTTTACGGAAAGACATCCAAGTTGTATTTCTTTAAGTTTAAGTACACAGAGAATTGTAATTGTTACACCGTAACACTAAAAACAAACAATTCTTATTTATAAGTCTCATTTGTGAGAGCAGCTTAAACCTTGGTGTCCATATAATCGCTACACGTTATGGCTGGCAGTTTTAGGTGATGCTAGTCAGTCAGTCGAATAGGGGAGCCTTCTCGATTGCATCAAGGATTGTTGCACTGTACAACGATTGCACTGAAAACACTGTAGTGACAGTGTAGCGATTTTAAGGAAATGAGGCCTCACTCAGACAGTCGGCTCAACTGGTGGTAGCCACTGCGTGAGCGCACTGATCTGTGGAGATCTCTTGGGCCCCGGTTCAATTCCCAATGCTGCTTTCCTTGTATTTCAGCTGGAGGGCTGTAATGCAAGTTACGATAGTGCACCGTCTTTCGGATGAGATTTTTATACTTTGGTCACGTATTCATTATGGACCATATGCGCGTTAAAGAACGCAGTACACTCCGCAGAACGGAGTAGGGGATTGTCTCCCGGTGTACTGCCTAATCACACCATAAGGATCCCATTGGACATAAGTCTTCCTCAGACTCGTTGGTTATCCAAACATATCCATCCATCCATGAGGAATTGAGGCAGGATTCTGGAATTTAAGGCAAGCATTTGGGTTACCAAGCTAATATCCCACGTGGTACTTTTACCAATATATAGATAACTGTTCAACACTAATTCCTTCATTTATAGGTGTTCAACTTACAGCTGTAGCCCTAATTACAGAAATGTGTGAGCTTAGTCCAGATACACTACATCACTTCAGGAAGGTACGTGTACGTGTATACTTTTAAATTATTTGTATTTGTATACCTTGTTGTTGTCTTGTTCAAATATAACATAATATGAAAATCATGACAAACATTAATACTTGGGCTTATGGAACATCTTTGAAATTATCACAAATAACTACTAATTTTTATGATAAAACTACTATGCATTTGTTTTACGATCTATTAAATCTATTAAATCTATTGCATTTATAATCAGTGTCTATAGATTTTTTTTTTTATGGAGATTTTTGATAGAAGTAAATATTATTGAATCCAACATCTTAGATAAGAAAATTAAATTAAATGATCTTAAATGTGAAATTTATTTGGGACTATAATCAACAGATAGGTAATAATAATGAATAAGATCAAAATGTACCGTAACAATTTTGGGTGTTTTATGTAGAGATGCTACTTAGCTACTATTCTCTCTCTTCTTTTTATGCAACTAGTACACACGTGGTGTAAGTTTGAATGTATCTTGATATCTCCCAGAATACCAAAACATACATAATCATAGAGAGCTGTAGCCATTTAAAATTGTTTTTATATGTTTATTTACATTGAATTTAAATTCAAAACTGTTAATTTAAATATGAAATTATTGGAAATATACATTTTTAGTAAATGATGTGTATTTTTTAATAGTGTATAAAATTTTGGGAATTTTATTCAATTTGAATTGAACTAACATTCCATATTACTAGATTTCCAAAATCTATAGAAACATAACAAAAAAAAAAGGCAATTTAATATGCCTTTAATATTTATTTAAAATTGATTAATTTATTAACAACGTGGTAATGTAAGGTTATTAGCATGTATGTTACCATGTGTATTGTGTAAGAGATGAATTGTGTAGCAACTGATGTTGGTGTTGTGTCTTGTAGATTGTAGTTATAGTGAACATTCCTTTACAGATCTATGATGTAGCATTCAGACTTGCATCATCTGTATGTGTTTCCACTGTAACAGTCAGCCTATGTATTAGACATGCATAATTAGATCAGCATACCTAGTATCATCATCATATTTCCTGTTTAAAGAAAATAGAAAATAATCATACAGTGCAGTAGTTTAGAATGTACACACATCAATTGTGAATAAAATGATACTGCCCCATTTAAAGATTAGAAAGAGTATTTAATATTTAGTACACATGTGTAAACGAAAGGTGGTATAAATTATATATTATTTTAGAGTATCTTGTTAGACAATTTCATAGAGCATTGTGTGATAGTGTGAATCTGTAGGGGTGAAGTCTAGTATGATATTAAAGAGACAGTCTGTCGTAGAGCATGCTGGTCTAATAGACTATCAGTTTTATTGGACCAAAATGTCTGATATACCTAAATATGGTCATGATGACATCACATCATGAACATATATAGGTACATCATGACTGTATATAGGCATACAATTTATTGTCAAACAAAAAAAATTGATAATTTGGACAAAGCCTTAAAATATCAAGTGGCTTTCTTACCAGCTGACTCTTTAGGCATTTGTGCCTCACAACCAGTCAGCCAAGTGCAATTACTGGATGTTTACATTTCAATACTCACAAAACAATAAATAAGTTACAAATGATTTCAGCTTGTTAGAGACCTACTTTGTTTCCACCCATTATTCAGTACTACAGTAGTAGTCTAGTAGTTGTGAAAAACCCTGCCCAATGCTAACCACTCATTTATTTTGTTTTTTTGTTTTCTCTATTTCTGTTCACCTATATCTCTCTCACTTTCTGTCTCTCATAATTACTACACGATTGTTCACTAACAATACCCATCTGACCAGTTCAATGATGGTGAGGTATGTGCTGAAGTCAATTGCCCATTTCTAACAATTGTTTTCATTTACTTTTTTATCAATCTATCATTTCTTTTCAATTCCTTCATACCATGCATGTTTAACAGTGATTTTCTCCATTGTTCATAGTCTTCTAGCTTGTTGAATTTCATGTGGTTTTTGGGTATGTGTCTGAAGCACAGTTGATCTTAAAAATCCTTATATTTTTTTCTTGGTACATTGATTTTTGGTAACATTGAAAGTGTCTTGTGAGCATGTCGATTATTTGTGTCGTTCTTGGCTTTTAATTGTCATTAAACGCAATGTTTATCATTCATTTGTGGATTGCTGAGATTTTGTTTAGATTTATAATGTTTTTTTTTGTTTTTTTGTAATGAACTAATTATGAGAAGTGCATTCAATATTGGATGGGTTGATACATTCCTCTACATCTGTTATGCTTTATATCCCTGGTATTCAAACTATGGGTCGGGACCGAAATTTCGGTCGCCAAAATATTTTGAAATAAAATATTTTAGTACTCCTTGATTGTTTATGTCAATCAAAGTTATCTGGTAGAGGGTATCTCATTTTAGTGACAATTGCAGCATTAAATTTTGTTTGGTGTTTTGAGACCCTAAAATCGATCAAATATGCCTTTCAAAACCCTAAATTGTTAAATCTTTCAGGGGCTTCTTATCCTAGACTCCCTCCAAGAGTATCAGTGTAGCCTCTGGACCTGCCCACTTACAGTTCCGTCGGGGTCTTTGCCACCCCTACCCAATATTGAGCAAAACCTGGTGCCACTAATGAGCTGAATGTTTATCAATCTGAAAGTATCAAAAAGTCCAGCTCTTTAATTGGTCAAAATATTATTACATATTTTAATAAGTTCCTCCTTTGTCTTATGATAGTGCTTGACCTCTTAGTCACTTAAGTGTTTTTAATCAAAAATATGAACTGTTCTCAAGGAATGATGGATCGCCGCTTTAGCTACGCTGAAAATATAGGTTGGCTGTATCAAAAAGTTTGAATACCAGGGCTGTACACAGTTTGCATTGTGAGAAAATTATTTTTGGGGGAATTTTTCCATGTCACAAAATTGTTTTTCATCACCAAACTCTGCTTTGATTTTCGTAAGCTTGCATCAAATTTGTTTTGAGTGAAGATAAAGGATTTTTCCCTTTGTATAAACCACTATCCTTATTTTTTGAATTGTAAATTTAATCTTAAGAGGGTGATTTCCACAACTCTCTCCGTTGTTAGTTAAATCTGCGGCTATGAAAAGAGCTCCTCTCACCTTGATGAGCGTACCTTGATATTATACTGTACATTGAGTATGTATTTAATATTTCGACCTACATGTATTCTCTGTGGGAAAAACGGTACTACAGAGGTTACAGGTTTAATTACCACAGAAGTTCTTTTTGTTCTGCTTTATCAATAATTCAGGGTACTATGGATAAACACCTTTTTTTTTGTACCGTAAATGACCAAATGTGCGTCAAGGCGAGACAATAGGCAGTGAGTTGTTTTATCAAAGCCATCGCACTTGTAATGCACTAACAATGTCACTAATAATTTCCTGAGAGGCATTTATTAAGACTATCAGACTTGGTTCAATGTTGTAATTAGTTTAGTGAAATTTAGTTGTTTAATACATAGTGGGGAGCTTTCGACTCCACGACGAAGGTAGGACCTAGAACCTAATGACATCACTAAGAAGTTATCTGCACAAGCAAGAATGTGGAGTTTTCATTGTCGTCCCGATTCTAGATTTGCGTTGTCGCTTCAATCAAAAGACCCCTTTGAATGTCCTGATATGAAACATCAAGGCGCATTAAGTATGTGCTCTCAATTAAGCATTATGTGTATTCAAAATAAGATATTTCTCTAATGAGCACTGTTAGCGAAAATTTGAGTGCGTTGCTTATTTGATCATTTACGGTATCTAATCCAAATGTTGTGGTTTTGTTTCTCTGCATTGTAAGGAATTGGTGGAGGTTGCCCTTTGACTTAATTTATTGCATTTAACCATTTTGATGACATTAACAATTTATGTGTATATTTGGTATTGACTTTATTCCAGATGGTACCACAGCTTGTACGAGTATTAAAGAATTTGATCATGTCCGGGTATTCGCCAGAACATGATGTTTCGGGTGTAAGCGATCCTTTCTTGCAAGTAAGTTAAAAAGAAAATTGATTTCATGACAAAACATTACTAAAATGAATGTAAATGTGTCATATTGAGTCCATTTATGCAGACATATCAATTATATACAAGATAATTTTTTGCCATAGGTCAATTAGGAGATCCATTATGTAAATGCAAAAAAATGTTTGCTTAATTAAGTTTATGTTGAAATACTGTATATGATTGTTCAAGATATCTGTAGTTAAGTCAAAAAGAATCTAAAAAAATTAATCATTAAATTAAATTGCCTATTTGAATATAGCAGTGAAGTTAACATTCAACGAAATATCAAACATAAAATCAGAACAATTATGTTTGCAGACATTTTACTACAAAAATCCTTACGTTGATTACTAGGCCTGTTTGTGGTTGTGGTATATGCAAAAATAGACTAGATAGGTATTACAGTAGAATCTCAATTTTACGTACGGTACGAGACCGGAGGGCGTACGTAAATTGGAGGATTTGTAAAATTGAGGTTGGGTTAAATTTGTGGCGACCTTTGACCTAATACGTATGTAACACTCAATAACTGTATGTTATGAATGAACGAACAATGTTACCTCATAGGCTAGACCTTTCCTCATGCCTACGAATAAAACCATGTGTTTAGTGTTTTTATTCATCAATTTACGATGTAATAATAACGTGTTCAAGTAAAACCATGTGTCTAGTGTATTAATTCATCACTTTATATCTTTTATTTAACTAAAGAACATGAAAATATTCCCTAGGCCTATACGACAAAAGTATAACTTGGGAATTTCCCTTCATGGCTGTTCTAAACAGCAAAGCTGTGGTGTTGTCTGGGCCTGCTGAGACAAACTAAAATAATTTGCGTTCGTGTACGAAATATAAATACCTACTCAGCTTCGTGTAGGAAAAAAGGAGGAAAGCAATTATTTTGAGCACCATCGGTAGTTGTTCATCTAGCTCAGTTCACATGGTTTTAGATTATAACAACCCGCAGTATTAGACTCAATCAACATTGCTGTTTAATAAAAATATGTTGCATATGGTTTGTTTATTGTTATATTATTGAAATAATAAGCAGACAGAAATTAACATAATCTCTTTATACTTATGGTTGCTCCGAAATTAGCCATTTGTTTTGATTATTTTCCGGGTTTTTGATGACACCATCGTCGGAACAAGGCGTATGTAAAACTGGGATACGTAAAATCAAGGTTCTACTGTACTTTACATAAATCAGCAAGGAAATTCTTTTTATCTTATATCCAGAGTAAGCACCTCCAATAAAGTTTCATCTCATCACAGACACTACAGTATGAACAAGTTCAATGCAAAAGTAACACTTAAATCCAAAAATGTTTCATCAAGAAGAACTGATTTTATAGCTGTATATGTTTCTGTGTAATAATCATTCATTGATAAGACTTGAGGATATTTCATTTCTTTTTAGGTTAAAATTCTAAGATTACTACGAATACTCGGTAAGGGTGATCCCGACTCAAGCGAGGCCATGAACGATATTCTAGCCCAGGTTGCCACTAATACAGAAACAAGTAAAAACGTGGGTAACGCAATCCTGTATGAAACAGTTCTCACCATTATGGACATCAAGTCAGAGAGTGGTCTCAGAGTGCTGGCTGTAAATATCTTAGGAAGATTTCTATTAAACAATGACAAAAACATCAGGTGTGTATCTGTGTCTGTATCTTGTCATACAAACACCAATATGCTGGTTGTCGGGTACGTTGGTCTGGTCGGTGTGTGTGTGTGTAGCAGCTAAATAATATAATGAGCTTTAGTCGTTAATTTATGTATGTTGATAGAGTCCAAGCAGCTTTAAATGATTTTATATAGGGTGACATGCGAATATCCTCGCTTAAAGCAGTTCCATTCTGGTATTGACCTTGGGTATAACGAGTTATGGTAGCAGTCTTTGTTTAGTATAATAATACTAGATAGAAATCAGTCTACTGTAGATAATAATTAATGTCTTGCATTAACTAGTGGCCAAGAAGAACGCAGCTACTAAATTATATCAAATGCCCAATTGTCATTTCAATTTTTGGCATTTTCTGTCAGTGATCACTTCAATGAACCATTTGGGAGAGTCAGTCGAATCTTAAGGACTGACCAATCAAAACAAGGCCAGAGATGCATGTGTTTACATACATTTTACGCTATTGCATTCTGGCACCTTGGCAACAGTATCCAAGGGGCGGAGCTTATCAGAGAGGTGCATTGGTTGATAATGATGTTTTTGTTTATATTTGTACAGATATGTAGCTCTCAACACCTTGCTAAGAACTGTCAGTGCAGACTTAAATGCTGTACAAAGACACAGAAGCACTATAGTAGATTGTTTACGAGATCCTGACATTTCAATAAAAAAGTAAGTTACTATATATGTCATCCTCAAGTTCACGGATTGTTTGGAAGATTAATATTTATTGATCAAATTGGTTCATTTGTATTAATATTGTATCATCAGCATGGTCATTATTTATAGAACTGGTATAAAATATATTTTTTAGTAAACCTCCTAAATGAAAAGAAATGTCAAATAATTCCTTTGTTTATCACCATTGGTGGTACCAAGTCCTGGACGTTAGCAATCGTGACATTCCACATTACTTTCTCTGTCTGGTTTTTCACTAAAATCTTGAATTTCCTGTTGCTTAGCAGCTTGCCTATGCTTTTTGGGAAAGTTAATCTAGGCCTTCCTCTGCACTTCTTTCCTTTAATGTATCCTGTTAGTGTGTTATATTGTCTTTCTTTTACTAAATACCTATTATTTTCTTTATTTTCCAGACGAGCTGTAGAACTTTGTTTTGCACTAGTAAACAATACCAATATCAGGAGTATGGTTAAAGAGCTTATCTTCTTCTTAGATAAGTCAGACCCAGAGTTCAAGGGTTATACTTCTTCCAATATCTTCCTAGCATGTGAAAAGTAAGTTTTTAAGTCAATTTATTAATGAGGTAATTTATTTGTACTGTAAAAAATAATATAATTTTTTTTTTGTCTTAGCAAACTGGTTCTACCAAAAGCATGTTGGCAGAGAAGAACATAAAGATTGATAAAATAGTTTTGACTAATAATTAAAATGCGAATGAGACATACAAGTATTATTAGAGCACTCTCTTTGAAATCTCCCAAAATAAGATAATTATACAGATTTAAAGCATTTATTAATTCCATTACTTCACGTTTATATTCATCATTGATATTTTATTTTCTCCACTGCCTGTATGGTTTGGGCAAAACCATTTTGATCAATAAAAAAAACCCCAAAATATCTTCCCACCCTCCTCTGACTTTTCTTATGCTACAGCATTTATTATTTCAATCAATAACATTTTTTTTTTTCATATGTAAATTATTTGCCTGTGTTTTTCAGATATTCACCCAATCGACGGTGGCACATAGACACCATGATGCGTGTCTTGACTGCAGCAGGTAACCATGTTCCAGATGATTCAGTATCTAGTCTGATTCAGATGATCTCTGTTTCAAACTCACTTCATCCTTACATTGTGCAAAAGCTCTACCAGGCCGTTTCTAGGAACTATTCACAGGTATTTATTTCATCGATCAGTAAAAACCATCATTTCCATTCTGGGCTCCTAATATATACAATATATACATTTAAACTTGCCTAAGTCGATCGTTGCGTGCAAGAAACGGGAACCGAATCTCAAGTTTGCAAGTGAGGCCATGTGCATGCACCGAGTAGTGGACGACTTAGAACTGTCCATTTTCAAACAGGGTTTAAACATGCGCTCCTTTTAATTCAAGGCAGTGTAAACACAAGTCACTTGTCGGGCTTACTTAGTTGTGAATTTCTGCATTGCCAAATGTACGAGTCGCTTGTTGACGACAGCTTACAATGATTGAAGTTTTACGTCAAGATTTTGACTTTGACAGACAATTAATGAAAAACAGATCAATTTGGCATGTAAAATATGTTCGACTTTTGTTTTATTCAACTTAAATTTATTTGAGTTAGAGCAAGTATTAACCATTGTAAATATAGGCAAGATGAAGTGACATGAAAATAATTTCGACTTTGACAATTTTTTGACTTTAGGCAAGTTTGACTGTATTTTTCTTCTTAAAAATGTCAACATGCTGAGAAGCATCTTCATTGATATCTTTGTGTGCTCTTTGAGATCAGCCCATTAATATTTTTGATTTATTCTAGTTTATATTTTTTACCTTCAGAAAATACAGATATATACATATTATGTTTTATTTCAGCAACCACTTTGCCAAGTGGCCGCATGGTGTATTGGCGAGTACGGTGACATCCTCTTTGCCAGTGATCTGGAAGAAGATGAACCAGTGCAGGTACGGACATACTACATGAACAAGCTAGATCTGGACCAGCTCAAGTCCCAATCCTACGACCCAGGCCAAAGGGATTGCTTCCAGGTCCATATAGCCCTTTACCTAGCCACTAATGTGTCCATAGTTCTCACAGCATAGTTGTATGTGTGTTAACATTTAGTGGGCTGGGCTTCTGGTGAAATAACCTTTATATTGGCATAATTTTACCCAGCTCAGTCTGTGTGAGATAATTTAGAAATCTGCTTTAATATTTTCCACTGCATTTTTCAACCCTAAGGTAATTAAATTTCTCAAAGCTTATGTACAAATATGTAGGCATAAAGCATCTTATAAAGTTAAGCCTTGTTAATTGGATTTTAATTTCATTATTTATATGCTATCATCAAAATGTATGTATGTATACCCTCTTCTGTCTTTTTCTTATATTGTAAATCTTGTTGTGAGCCAATAATTTTGCGGGAAAAAAAAAATCTTAAAAGCATGAAAGGGGAGGAGGTCTACTAACTGATCTGAATCCATCCTCTAGGCAGCAATATGAAACTTTTTCTATAATAATAATTCAAAAAGATTGCACCACAAACAAAAATCATTTAATAACATGATTGGATTGTAAGGGAAGGGTTTAAGCATGTTGTTTTATTTGTTGGTTGCAAATAATGTGACAAAAAACTGTTTAATTGCAAACTGTTTTCTTTTAAATTATTATTTTTTGTTTATTCATGACAAAAAAAACTTGAATAATTAATTTCAAATCAATTGTATATCAAATTTAGTAAGTAATTTTTTGGAGAGCGTACATATAAATACAATAAATGTTGGCTTATTCCTTAATACTTAAAGGTAGGCTTGTGCAACAAAGTTTACGGTAACAAGAAGCTTGCAATCTATTTTCTTCCAGTACTTGTAATTGTCAGAAATGTTGGAAGCTTTGTCTTTTCGTTTACTACTAATAATAGATTTTAAAAAATGGTCATGTAGAAAAGTGGTCTGTGTGGTGCTCCCTTCAATACTAATCCATTCTTGTAAAGATTCCTCTTAAATACACTAGCTATGGCATGCAATCTGGTTGTGTCCAGCATGTTTTTTTAATAACATTGTATTATATATTTCTGTAGTGACAGTAAGCTAACATTTGTTTTGGCGTCATGAAATGCAGCGTTAAATCTTACATCCCTAGAGTGATTGGTAAAACCTTCCACTAATTAATTTCACTTAAGGCAACTTAAAAACTCAGATGATGTTTTTCACTGGTCCTGGTCACATTGTCTCCATCCAACATAAATATAATTCCTATAATAGCTTTGTTGTGTCTTGGTTTGAGGGTGTTGAAGGCTTGCATGCCAGCCACTACATAATTACTAATAATTTACTTGTGTGAACTTCACTGCATTTCTGTTCATATCCTTTTCAATTTTTGATTTTCTGCAATGCTTAGTTACAGTAGCTTTTAGCTGCCTTTTATATAACATGTGGGGAGTTATATTCAGTTCAATATGAACCAGTGAAAATGTATTTAAGAGTCATCTTCTCATTTATTAGAGATTATTATTTTGCTGTTTACTGAAAGTGATTCCATTAATTCTGTGTGACATAGCAAACAACAATACTGAATTGTGACCGATATAAAAACCATTAATTTCTGTGAACATTCCTGCAAAGAGGTTTAGTAAAATTTCTTAACATGTTATTCTTTAATTGATAGGTAACAGAAGAAGAGGTATGCAGTCTGTTAGAAAAAATGCTTCAATCAACAGCATTAAATCAAGTTACTAAAGAATATGTATTACAAGCCATACTCAAGTTAAGCACTAGGTTTACATCTTCTCAAAAGTAAGTTGTTTATATATTTTTTTTAGTATTCTTTCATTATGTGTTAATCTCCGTATATATTTTCCTTATATTAAATGTATTTTTGAAGAGGAAGTCTTGCTATCCTCAATTCCATAAACTATGTTACTCTCTGCAGCTTTGTTTGCATTGGATTAATTTTTGTCAAACTAAAGGCAAGACTTTTTTTATATCTTTATACCGCCCTCCAATAATGAGTTTGAATAAAAATGGAATTTCATTTTCTTCCAGTCTGCACTCAAAAAAATTGAAATCTGAGAAAAAAACCATGTTTTTAATTTATTTTTATTACTCCCAGCATTGCCTTGGAATCGCCCAAGATAAGATGTCTATATTACTTCCTTATTTATATAAATTTAAAATGTTTATTAATCCCATTACTATACTGTTTACATTTACCAGTAACATTTTGTTATTTTCAGCTACACCATTAGCTAACTAAGGAAAAAGAGTTTTATTAATTTTTTTTTCCTCTTACGAAAATTAGTTGCTAAACAAAGTCTAAAAAAAGTCTTGTCTAAACAAAAAACAATCAACTTCAACTAAAAATCCAGTGCAAAAGACTTGCATAACATCATTCTCGTCAAATTACCCAAGGCACACAGCAACTTTAAAGAGTGAACAGTGGAAGATAAGTCAGGCTGTTTTACTAAGCATAAATGTCCAATGCCAGCTTGGTGTGAAGTTTTCTTGATTGCATGCTATTACTGTGCACATTGCTGAATTTTTCAGCAGAATGTATCTGCGATTACACTAACCATGTATGCCCAAAATTTTACTGTATTATAACCTGCGTATCAAATTAACCAAGATAGCGTTAACATTTGTCTTGGTCAAAATTGATTCAGTGTGAACACTGTTTTTTTTTTCTTGCAAGAGTTGTATGATGTTGGAACCATTTGTTGGGGTTGTAATTTGAAGCACATACATGATTATATCAACATATATACTGATGGTAGAATACTGAATTTGTTTGCAAAAATTGTATACAGATAATGGAGCTGTTTATTTAAATGATTTCTCACTGTTTGATTGTAGGCAAATCCAACAAATTCTGACACCATATTCAATGAGTTTAGATATGGAACTGCAGCAGCGATCTGTTGAATTCTTTGCATTATCAAGAAGCTATGACCATATGCGGTAAGTTACAGAAACTTAGTGCTTTAATGGTGGTTGAATGTAAAACCAGTGGTAGGCAGGGTGAATCAATTAATCAATCAGTCAGTGGCCATTAATGTTTGTCTGTGTCTGACCTAATTAACTATTTTTTTGGGCACCGAGCCCATTAAATCATTGGTGTTCATGGTACCAATGATTTAATGTCTCATCCAAAGAATGAAGTAAATTGAGTAAATATCTCAAGGCTGGTCCAGACTATCAACCTTTGACAAAAACATGACATGTCTAAAATAGGCACATTTTGCCTATATATGGACATAACAACAGTTTTGTTTTTGTCAAGTGTGGACAGTGCTTTACCCAAGGACACAAGCAAGGATTGCAGGTTTTAAACCTAGGGTCATGCCCCAAAGCTGAGCCACCAGACTCATGCAGTATTGTTGCTTAGTTTTCAAATCTATTAGAAGAATCTTCAACAATACCCTTTAGACATTCTATTTTTTTTTAAAATTTAATATTTAAATCCCTTTGATCATATTTGCTGAAATTTAGCAGATTTAATGAATATAATTACTTTTACCCAATTTTGTCAATTTTGTTATTGATGATACAAAATACAAAAATAAAATAGTAAGAAGCTGAATAAGCAAAGTAAAGCATAGTGTTGGTTTTGTGTTATCAGACCGGGTTTACTTGAAAGGATGCCACCGATGGAGAACAAAAACAAGGCAGTGGAAATGAATGGAAATGGTGATGTAGACGTAAATGAAGATGGTGGACAACTCCCTAACGATAGCCAACCATCACAGCCACCTGTTGCAGAGGTAATATATTATGTATGTTTCATATGGTTTATTTGAGGACTTTGATTCTATGTTTGTTTTTGATTATTTAACATATTTACACCCAATTCCATTTCAGAGCAATGGTATTCTGGATTTGTTAGGGGGAGACCTTGGTAGTCCAGCACATATCACCATGCCAGTCAGTAGTAAGCAAGATACCTCTCAGGCAGGAGGTATCATGGATCTGCTAGGCCTAGACATTACCGGTAATCCAGAGCCAGGCCTTGGTGCTCCTGCTCTGCCCTCGGCAGATATCAATCTGATGGATGGCTTACTTGGTGGACCAGTGCAAACAAATAGCCAACCTTCCATAAACCTACTTGGAGGTCCTCTCAATGAATCTGGTGAGAATTTGTCTGTTTTCATATCGTTTTGAAACCTTGTTTGTTACTGCTCCATTGAATACATTTATGATGATAGAATTTTTTGAACAGTTGGTCATGCAGAGTATATTATTACACAAGACTAAGGGAGAAAATAAGAAAAAATGAATGATGAAAATAAATTATTGTTATGTGCATAACAATTATTTATTTTTTTATGCACATAGGTGCATATGGTTATTAATAATCATTAAAACTAAATTAAACTAAACTAAAATAATATTTTGGATAGTAATTAACGGTACATTTGTTTATTTTCTTCTCTATGTTTTTTAAGCGCCTCAAGGTTGTGACAACGTGAGGCATTATATTATTATTTTGTTAGAGGTTTGCCTACCAGGAAAATGGCCTGTATTCATACACTTTGAGGTGATATGATGGAACATGTACAATTAGATTGACCTGATGTATACGAGCAGCATTGCTCAAATGAACAAATTGAGCAATTGTGAGGGGTAAAGGGGTGAAGCCTGTCAGATTCATATCTGTCAGACAGAAAATGTTAGATTAGACTTTATACAACTTAAAACAGAAATAGAATGACACACAAGTTCAAAAATCTGATCAATCATCCTCCTTTGTATCTTACTGATGATTAAACCATTAATGGATTTGCCTTTAAAAAATATTAGTAATAATGGCTTTGTTTATTTTGCAGCCCCATTTATACCCCCAATTACAGCCTATGAACGCAGTGGCATTAAAGTGGAATTCAAGTTTGAACGGGACAATAGCAATCCTGCAGTGGTGAATATAACATTACATGCCACAAACTCGACTCCTAACCCAGTTTCCAGTTTTATATTCCAAGCAGCTGTTCCAAAGGTAATCACATCTTCTATTTTGTTCTTTCTTTCATTATTACAAAACAAAAACAATAGATCAGCATATTGTAAGAGAAAATATAGATTCCCGTTTGCTTATGTTTACAGAGAGCAGCTTAGCTCAGTCGGCTAAACTAGTGGTAGCCACTGTGTTTGCACTGAACCTTAGATATCTGTAGGTCCCTGGTTCGATTTCCATCGCTGGTCTGTTGGTGTTTCAGGAGGGCTGAAATGCAAGTTTTGATAGCACACTGTCTTTTGGATGAGACTTTTAAGCCGTTGGTTTTTTGTGCATTATGGACCGTGTGCATCTGAAACAACAGTCCGTCTTTCGGATGTGATGTTTAAGCCGTTGGTCCTGTGTGCATTATGGCGTGTGTACACGTTAAACAGCGCAGTACACTATTCAGAAAAGAGTAGGGGATTGTCTCCGGGTGTCCTGCTCAATCACCACCAGAAAGACCCCACAGGAAATAAGTCTTCTTTAGACTTTCCTGAGTTATCCTTGGTGTTTACACCGAATAAATCCATCCATCCAAATGTTTTTCAAGGTTCCCAAAATGTTATATTTTGGACATATCAAACTTGTTTACAAAAAATAGTAAATCACAATCATGTGATTAACTAATCATTCCTTTGATTCTGATTTAGACTTTCCAACTCCAACTTCTCTCACCTTCTGGGGATTCAATCCCAGGTAGCAACGCTGGTGAAGTGACCCAGGTCATCAAAGTAGCCAATCCACAAAAGCAGCCACTTCGTATGCGTTACAAACTCTCGTACAGCAGCAACGGAATGCCTGTCAGTGACCAGGGCGAAGTCAGCAATTTTCCGCAGAGTATCTACTCCTAACAGCAGTTCCTACAAAGAGGATGGTTATGCAACAAATTGAATGATATGCTTTGAGGTAAACCTGCATCAGGAGGGTGTGGCACCTAACTGTTAATCAAAATCTCTCCGGTTTAATTTACCAGTGACTATAGTTTCTTCCTTGATAAACTATTTGGGAACAATTCTCGACCAACATGTGGTTTCATTTTACTGTGTAACCAAATAATCATACTGGAGTCATTTTATCGCTGTTGGCCTTCACATGTAGAAAGATGTATAACCCATGATGGGTTTTCTCATCCTGTTTCCTCAGGAATCATATAATGGACAAACTAGGAAAAAGTGGATTTATGAGATGATTTGCAAAACAAATTAACCATGATAATATGCTAAAGTGCAAATGAAATAAAATAATTAAAAAAAAAACCCAATTTGTTAGCACAAAAACTAGGGATCAAGATTGGCAGTTTAGTTTATTCTATTTTTCAAGAAACTATAGATATTAGATCAGTGTCTAAAATGATTCCAATTGGTATCGTTCATGGTATCCAATATTATTTAAAAGAACATTATTGAAGTGTCTGCTAACCACACTTGATCAGTGACATGTCTATATTTAATATGTTTAACATGTGATCAGTTTGGGATTTATTTCACCAATTCCTATGCAAATATCACAAATGTAATATTATTCCTAGAGAAATAAGAGTATATGATTCTGCTTTCAAACCCCCGCAAGCATGATTATTGAATTAATTTAATGCATTTGCAATCATGGTTAGGGTTAGAATTGAAATTACATGAGCTTTGGTTAATCGGTTAAAAATCACGTAAAGTATGGTTAATCAAACTCATTTTGATCTAAGTCAGCAAAATATTATCAGTAAATATTTGGATCATGACATATAGTCCATAGATAAAGAAAGCTTTATTCAGCATCTGTATGTTTTGTCAGTTGTCTTAAATCGTTGAGAAGTTTTTGGGAGTTTTTTAAGGAGATATTATCACAGATTTGCTTTCGTTGAGAATTTGGATGGATTGTGTTGCCAAACAGTAAATCTTTTCAAAATTACTAATTTTGATATTAGAACAGTGGACCTATTCATTGTCCAGTTCACAACACTTAAAACATCATCACAATGTGCAATTGAGAGAAAAAGAAGGTAAAGCATAATAATATTGGTAGTGTTCAGTTTTCCATGATTGACAGTTGATAAATTCCAAAACGTCTTTTTCCCCCCCATATACTTCGTGCAAGGGGAAAGGGCACACCCTAGAGATATGTATATGGATTAACATGATGCAGCTAGAATAATGAGTTAGTGTTATTTCTCAGTGATTTATCCTCTAACAATGTATAAAAACTGACTTCAAACATGTTCACCTTGTCCTTTTGTATGTAGGTTTCACAGATTGTACCTGTGACTGATATGTAAGTAAGATATGTTCTAGTTGATTTCCTGTTGTTATTCTAATGTTTTGGCTTTATATATATTTTTTTTCTAAGCACAAGTTATGCGATAAAACTGCAGAAGGGTGATGTGAGTTTTGCACTCCCACCCCAGTTTGCTTTTGAATATCTACATATCTGCGGAAATTTCATTCCATGCTCCTATGATGTATTCATAAAATTATAATTTAAGTAAATTTAATATCGGTGAAATGACAATGCTTGTAGAATTATTTTTTTACAGTTTTGTTATATTTGATTGTTTTTTTTCTAATTTGGTTCTCTGGGTGGGGTGGGGCAGTGGAATGATATTATTAGAAGAATGACTTAAAAATATATTTTTCTGTACTTTGGCATGATACTTGCTTTGATTATGTTGACAATGATACTCAGTGGCTAAAAGAAAAATATGGATGTAATAAGATGTTACTTAAACAACTAAACTTGATTATTAAATAAAAGATCTTATGGTTAACTTATGTAATGTTTTTACTTAAAACAAGAGCTGGAACTTTATTCATGTTCCGTCAAATGTGGTGGTATCGGCCAAATATACATTATACTGTGTAAGAGGAAAATTGTATATGGAACATAGTAAACTAAGTGAATTAACATTGTGAAACAACGATTGGAGGGTTTATAGGGTATGCGAGAACAAGATAATGCAGGTCTGTATAATGATTGTAGAACTAAAGTTGAGCAGGTTAAGGATATACCATTTGTGATGAGATAAAGAACTTGAAAGATATGTAGTATTTGAAATACTAATTCTATATTTTAATTTATTAGCATTCAATTGTCAATGCGAATAAGAAAGAATAAGAAAATGTTCTTGCGAACTTACTTATTACCTTCCTGTATGCTTTTGCATAGTCCCACAAATTGGCTGGTAATCAATTTAAGAGTTTTCTTTGTAAAACATCTGTAAATCACTGAAAATGGATTGATCTGGTTTCATTTATAAGTACAGTAAATAACTCATTTGATCCATTTAAAATAGCCAGTTCTATTATTTTAATTGAATTTTTGAGGTTTTAAACCAGGTTCCAGCACATATGGTATGTCTTTAACAAAAGTGCAAAAAGCACATTTGTATACATTCCATTGATGTGATTGTTGGAGATCTGGTCCCAATTATTGAACAGATTACTACTCTCCTTGTCCTATTTCCAATGTTCAAAATTATACCCACAATTTATTATTAATACAGTCGCAAAATTTATTATCCAAAATATGTTCAATCTTATTGACTGTTTGTTTTGTGATGAAATAAGACTAAAAAATAATTACAAATAAGAGAAAGTATTTATACCCATAGTATTTCTGTTTTTAATACATATAATAAAGTTATTATCAGTGGCTATGGGGCACAACTAGAAAACAATAGAAGATATAGACTAAAACAAATTTATAAATGTATTGCATGATCTTACACAAGAACAATAATAGGTTTTTTTTTTTTTTTTTTCAAATGATTGCTTATATGAAAATTTATGTTAATCTTTTCCCTCCTATATTTTTATTTGTAAGCACAAGATGCTTTAAATAGTATGTGTTACTGCTTGCAAGTTTAATGACCTTTGGAAAAAAAAGGCAACCTGACACTAGGGTGGGTGGGCAAATAAGTGCTTATAATTAATTTAAATGAAGATATTGTAATTTCTCTATTATAATTATATTCTTTTTTGTTTATATGAATCATTGTTCTTCCCAGTCCATCGCAGATAATATGCATTGATCTTGTATATATTGAAATGACAGGATAAATTTGGTGTAGGTAGATTTGATGCATATCCCTGAATGGACTGGGATAATATTTGTATCTTCTATCACTAGAAGCAAATCACAGAGTTTTATGTAAGCCAATAATAATATTATGTGTATGAACACCCAATAAAAATACTGTGATGTAATCCCTTGGTTTTTTTGATTAGTTCTTTATGTCCTGGTTTTATTGGCTGAACTGTTGTGAACTTATGGCGATCCTTTGGTTCAAAATCCTAGATTCTAAAAATGTACATCATTTAGTTTTGTGTACACACATTAGCCTACCGTTTATAGACTTTATCCAAATTTCTCAAATCAGCACTGAATTTGAAGGCTTCGGAGGAACACATTTTGATGTTGTAGCCTTCACAATATCGATGTCCTTAACATTACCGTTTCTCATACTTAATTCGAATAGGAAATATTGTAAGGAGTACAGAAGTTGTAATTTTATTTTCAAATCACTTCTAGTGATGCAACTTCTGAGGGTCACTTGGTGCATGTAAATGGACTGACCAGATTAAACTGAATACAGTTAACAAATATTACACTTTTACCAGTATAATCCATAGTAAAACCATCCTCCGCTGAACAGCATCTCTGTATTTCCGAGTCTAGGTTTCATGTTAATGCAAGAAACAACACACATTATATAATACAATATGAATAACAATGACTATATTGTTTGGAGGTTTGCACGGCCAAGTAATAATATAATGACTATTATATTTAGACAAGTTGCCAGATACTGTGAAATATAAAAACGATGCAATTAAATAAAACGTGCTATAAATACACAATGTACAATATGCTATTTATTTATTTCATGGCCCTATTATCTTTTGGCATATCGATGACTTATTAATTATCACGCTCTATATGAGATGTACTATCACTAGAATGTTAAATTAAGTGGATTGTTTGCTTCTGGAGGGTCTTCACTGAATACTTTATAAGCAGTTCTAATTATTCAGTCAATTCTTGGTATACAGATCATGTAGTATACAGTACCTCTATGGACAGATCTACCAAATTATAAAGGTATACCTAATTTAAATCAGTTGTGGGGGCGCAATGTTAAAATAAGTTAGTTTTTACAAGGGTCGAGAGGTCCTATCACGTAAACTGTTTCAAGATGCCAAGAAAAATATGAACAAAATTTTGATAATGATAATTATATGAGAAGATGAATGATGATGATGATGACAGCGATGGTGATAATTATGTTGACAAAGGTGGTGGCATTGTTGGAGCTATAAAAACACTAATGCAGACTAAAGTAAAATGAGTTCAAGCTAGAAAGGGTCTCTGGATGGTGTACAGGGACAAAAGCCCTGGATAAAAATCAGCGGTTTTGATTAGATATAAAATTTGAGTGTTTTCTATATATTTAGTTGTTTAATAGTAATATTTCAATAGAGCGAAGCGATCAATGAGATTTTTTTTAAACTCGCGCAGTGACACATGGTTCTGATGTTCTGGAAGACCAACTCAAATGATTTTCTATCATTTTACAATGCTGTACATCCCAAGCAGAACAAGCAATTTTGAGCTCAAGTAAGAGACCATTTACCTGGGTCCAGATTTGCAAAGTGCTGGATTGCAGTCCAGGAACTAAAAGCCCCAGCAAAAAATTTAACAATTCCGTATAAACACAAAACATTTTGAATGACTGTACAAATGTTTGAAATCAGTTATTTAATATAGTAATTGTGGCTTTGCGTGATTTGAGTGATTGTGATGTGTGCGACAATCATGAGGGTCTTCCCGCCCCCTCCTCCCCATGCAATTCTGACAACCTTCAACCCCCCTCTTTATACCACTCCACGATGAGGTCGTTGGACTAAAAATATATAATTTTCCCCATCCAATCAAATTTACTGTAATTTTTGATCCCTATTATGGTCTAAAAGTACAATTTTGGGCCATTCTAAACCATAAAATCTTTCCCAATATGCCCACTAGGGAAATTTGTTCTGAGGCCCCAGAACCACATGGGCCCTGGTTCACTGATCACTTCACTAGTTTAATACCATAAAAGTTTATTGACAAATTTGTCAGAGGTGCCATTGTGACTACATCAATCCAAATGGTTTTTCTCTGAACCAATTACCTTGGATTGAGATGTGTAGCATATGCTGTATAGTTTACCGAAAGCTTATGATTAATTATTACAGTGTATCTTTATGTATTTAATTACAGAATAAGATTTGTTGGTATTGTTTCACTGTGACTGCACTTTCTGTAATCTCATGCATAATTCTACTCAATAAATTAATGATTTACCCTACATTACAGGATTGAGATTACGGATTTATGAACTTTGTCACAAATTAACCTCCTTTACTTCACAGTACACAGATGTCAAAAACATCAAAGGAAATTGCAATTATGGCAGGGACATAATGTGAGAAAAATTGTTATCCAACAATATTTTTCAAAGCATCAGCGAGATTTGTGTACTTGAATTCATAACCACTATCTAAAGTTCTTTTGGGTTGCACATTCTGTCCTTCCAACACTAATGATGCACGTTCGCTACCGACCATCATTTTTATAACAAATCCTGGCACAGGAAAGATTGATGGCCTCCACAGAGCTGATGCGTAAGCTTTCGTGAAATCGCGGTTTGTGGTCACACCAGGCGCAGTGCCGTTTAAAATGCCTTTAACTTGATTGTTTTCAACAGCATGGACAAAGATTCCTGCGGCATCATCAACATGAATCCAAGGAAAGAATTGGTCACCGGAACCAATGACGCCTCCAACACCGATTAAAAATGGTAACTTCATTTGTTGAATAGCGCCACCATCTTTGCCTAGAACAACACCTGAAATGAGAGAATGTGGATGTAACTGGATGATAACTATTCAAGAAATAATTCTTTACATGAGTAGGCCTATACAAAAGTACTGTAGTGCAGTCTTATCAGGATACCATCCAAGACCACTTCATGATGACCATGGGTCCACAGATCTTAAAAACACATAATTGGTAGAAATCTAAAATACAGTAGAACCCCTCCTTTGGGAAAACCTAAGGGGACACTTTTGGGCCACAAAACAAGGGAAAATACCGTATATCTTTAAACACTACGGCCAACCCCTATTAAGGGGACACTTTTTTGGTCCCGAAGGTGTCCCCTTAATAGGGGTTCTACTGCATTTACTTCTTCCCAGACCCTCCTAATAATTCAGAAAATATGTTGGGCACAAAAGATGGTTGGAGGGCTGATGTGAATTTTTTATTTAACACTGAGGTCGGCATTGAAATGCTTCCACTGTTCTTGTAAAAATTTTCACGCACTGCTTTTATGACACTTTATGCTCAGTTTTTTTTTTATTAATGTCCATGCCAGATCATAACAACAAGGGATTTTATAGCCAAAGATTGTAGGCAAACCACACACATATAGCTTTTAATATATTTTTTTGCGGGGCATAAGAGCTGGACTTCCCCCACCTGTGATGTCTACTAATGTAAAACACTTTTGACCATGTATGACGATCAATGAGTAATTATCAGACGTGTAATACCTATTCTAACAATTGCAACCCGTGTTTCATTTGACTCGGCAAGTTTTGCGGCATTTTCCCAATCAACGCTGAGTCTGGCAAAGAAATCGTTCCCTGGGGGGCTTTCCTCAGTGTACTCAACTGTGGTTGAAGGTGCATAGTAACCTAAAAACATACAGAAAAGGAAAGACATTTAATGAAAACTACGTGGATATGGTTTTTTTGGATGGCTCACTTCATTCATACAGTATACGTTAACAGGTGCTTTCAAATGTGAATTTGACTATTTATGCTGATTTATAGTGGAGTGCTTTCAATCCCAGGGTCCTGGGTTCAATTCCTGCCAGTGTTGCAGGATTTTTCTCATGACCAAACAAGTCTCCTCCCTAAGCCTGTCATAGATATTTAGTTTGGGTAAAGCATCGTGTGTATGTTTGAAAGTGATTGTCACCTACAAGTAGGACATTGATATATTCGCTATTGGCAATCTTTGGCGCATGTGAGTATGGGGTGCATGTGCGTCTAAATAAGTAATCAAAAAATAGTTAACAATATGGTGGGAAGCCATGTATGTTCATTGCAATGTGCATAGTTGAACAATATTCCAGTCTGAAATTCAGAATTTAACCAGTATTTAAATATATATAAATACAAATACCATAAAACAATTAAATTTCCTAAGTGTGTTGATATTTAAGAAAGTTATTAGACCCCTATTAAAAATTAGAATTAGAAAAAAATATCATTACCAAATTAGCAGACATAAATAATAACTTTCCTATATTCTCCTCAAATTTTTGTAGTAAAGTAAGTAGGCCTAATGTACATATTATTACCTACTGCAGATGCTGATACAAACACCTTGGGCGGATTATTTGCTTCTGATATCAATTTGGCAATATCAGATGTGATCTCTACTCTACTGCTTATAACCTCCTTCTTGAAGCCTTCATTCCATCTGTAATAACAAAACAGGAAACCATTAAATGTTTAATTTGTTTCAGTACTGATCTCAAGGATGTGCAACGGTGCACATTAGCACAGTAATGCAAGTTTTAACTTAGAGCTACAGTTTTCGTTGGTTGTGTCAACAATTGTGGTGAAACTATTCTATGTCCAGCTTGTGTCCAGAATATGCTGTGGGTGTCCAAATTCAAAATGTTAGTGAACATAATTATGGCGCTACCAATGCGCTATTGCATTTTATTGAATAGTATTATTGTTTTCTAAACAACTCATTTTATTTATTTACTCAATATTTTAATTACACAAGGCATACACAAAATAAAAATCAAACCTTTATTATTATTATCTTATACAGACTTTACAAAATTTAGTAATATAATAACAGTAATAAAAGGAATTTCTTAATTATATTTTGGGTAACTTATCTTTATTACAGTATATTTAAAGGTAATCAATAATATAAAATAAAATTAAAGAATATTTAAGTTCTACAGTCCATTCATAAATGTTTTTCTTTAATGCCCACCTTCAACATTGTAGCTTGCTTAGCTTAGATAAATTTTATTTAAATTTAATCATTTTTGAATTTGCAGTCCTAGAAGAATCTTGTATGAAAAATGCTTTTGCCAATTTTTTAATAAATTATCTATCTTTTCCCTAATTGATTAATGCACTTATATATGAGAAACATATTTTTTTTCCTCCTTAATTAATCTGAATTAATACACATTAGCATTTTTCAATTTTCATTTACAGTATAAAATTGCCTATAAATTGCAGTATATATATTCCTTCATATTTAACAACTTATTAATTAGCTATCATGAGCATCTATAGCAGTGTTTCTGCTATACATGCTAAAACGAGATGAAATAGACAGCACTTTTTGAAGTCTATTACAAACTGTTATTAAATTATTATTTATTACAAATTATATTATATTATATCATTACAAATTATTATTATTATTATTATTATTATTATTATTACAGTATTATTATTATTATTATTATTATTATTAAAGACTGTTATAAGCATTAATACAGAGTTGAGTCACCTGGAGAAGTATACTGCTTGAAAGCTGAAAGCCCATGGATTTTGTTTGCCTATAAATTACTCATATTAATTTCTGTACAGTAATTTTTGTTTTTCTCTTCTTTTATTTATCTTATTCAGACACCAGTTCAATATCTTCTTCACTAGATACTTCATCCTATCCTGGAAATCCTATTCCAAAAATATATAAATAGTTTGTATAAACACAAATGGAAGCTCAGATATGGTAAAAGTGAGAGTAGATCCAGCACTTAACAATACTGTACTGTAATAAGAATATGTATTAAGACTGCAGACAATTATAGCAAATGGATGGAGATTTAATTAATAGATGCAAATATAAACATCATATATTGTAATTTTATGTTAGTTTAGACTTTAGTGCATCGCTGACTATCATAATTCAATCCAAATTTAACAATGTTAGTTCAGAAATCAACACATAGTTTTAATATGTATTAAGACTGCAGACAATAGTAAATGGATGGATATTTCATTTAAATGCAAATATGGACATCATATATTGTGATTTTATGTTAGTTTAGGTTTAGTCTATCGCTAAATATCATAATTCAATCCAAATTTAATGATGTTAGCTCAGAAATCAGCACATTGTTTATACTGTATGTTTAGATGAAATTACCTTTTCATTGGATTGTATGCATTCTCACCAGATAAATTAATAATAGCATCACACTCTTGTAAACCATTCTTCTTCAACTCTGACTGATAGGTAATAAAAATACAAAACTGTAATATCAACAAAAGATATTTAACACATTATTCTTACAACTTGAGTATATACAGTACTGTGTTTTTGCCCTTAAACCCCATTGTCATATTCAATTTTAATATAATTTAGAGGCAACCTCTTAGTGGCATATCTGAGGATGCATGGGGCCCCTGTCGCTCCCCCTCCCTACCTTAATTGAAAATGTTTAAAGCAAAAAAAAAATAGACTGAAATCAAGGAGGATCCAGGATTTAAAAGAGGGGGGTTCAAAAAAACTCCAAAATGAAAGGGGTGGTCCTCCCCCAGGAAAACTTTGATTCCTAGATGGCTGGAAATGAGCTTTCTCGACTTCTGAGGAGTCTCTTAACGGTTTTCCCCCACTAGAAAAAAGGTCAAGTAATTTTATTTCATTTTTTAGGCCTATCATAGAGGAAAAAAATCAAAGACATGCAATATATTATTATATTCCAACAACATTGAGTATTTAGATATGTAATCTGTCTTCCATGGATTGATGAACCGATAGGCCTGAAGAACTCACATTCGTACATAAATTATTACGATGGAAAACCAAAAACAGTGTGTATAATTTATCTAATTAAAAACTAGTTGGGCTAAGCCTAGTTTGCCTGATCTTCCAACCTATGTTTAGGTATGTTAGCATGCTATTTGTAACCCAGTTGTATTTTGTTACGTTTCTTCACAGAGGGGGGGTTCGTCCGAACCCCCCCTGGATCCGCCACTGAAATCAGTCACCGCCCCACCCCCCAACTTCTGCAACTTCTCTCAGCTTTACTGTCTTTGTAACATGCAATGCTACTAAGTGGTGGAACCCCTACACTATCTTTGAAATATTTACTTCACTACTGTGAAAAATTCTACCCTTACTATCTTTGTTACCTTCAATGCATGGTATTCAAAAAGTTTTGTATGACATTTATTTACACATGCTGCATTTTTCCCAACAATGGGAAAAATGGGCCAAAAACTTTTCATGTTTTACCTGGGTCCTCACCAGGATCTGGACCCTACTGGCCTTCAATGGAAACTTTCAGACCCCTGTTGGAGACCCCTCACCATAATATATATGATCAAGCTTCTTCATATGTAGCTTGAAATTTGCTCCACCATATGTGAGCCCTCTAGTTGTATAAATAGGAAGGAGACTGGTGGTCTTAGATCCGTAATGATATTGTACGAGCATCTGTGGTCTAGACAGCATGATGCTTGCCGAGATGGCGACAGATTGTGGGTTCGATTCCCACCAGAGACCTCTTTTATTCCCCCTCTTCTTTTTTATACAACTATACAAATATACTTTTGTGGTTGGACTATTATTTACATATTGTTCCTTTATATTAGATTTACATACATATACGTATATGTGTGTGTTTATGTATTTCCCTTTCTCCAAGTTGGACAAACAAAAATGCTATTTAGATTAAGTTGTTTGTTCATCAAATTCACGGAAAATTTATTATGCTTTTAAATTTTTTTTTTTCAAGACGAGAAAAACTTTATATTTTATTACTACTTTGTACAAAAAAAAAAAAAATGAAAATGAGATTTTGTATTTTATTTTAAGAAGGAAAATATTCATAATTCTTCCGTTTTCTTTTCAAACCTTCATTATTTAATTTACTGGGCGACTCTCATTCTTTCGACCTCTGGTCTTAATGAGAGGCTCCCAGATCCTACAATTTTATGACATTATGATATATTATTATGTAGGATTGAATTTGATTTTTGATTGTGTGATAGTGAAATTGTGACTGATTGATTGTGTGACTTGTGCTTGTGCTACCACAGCTCCATTTGTCATTATCAACAGATAATTTATCCTAACGTTGAAGACTCAAAATGCTGGTAATATTAATAAACATATAATATGTGATTATATAATCTTTGTCTTCAGTTGGTTATCAGTAAACATACCCATGAAATAGTTTTTGGACCACTGGTCCTGGAAATGATAGTCCAATCATGGCCTCTTTTTTGTAAAAGCCTACATACTGCTGATCCAATAAATCCCCTACCTCCACCTGCATATGGAAAAATAATAATAATGACAATGATAATGATAATTGCTGATGACTGATGATGATTGGATAGTTTTTTTAAACAATTTAAATTTAATGTTTATGAGATCAGCTATAAATTTTTTCAACAATTATAAAATTTTCAGGGCTAATCAAATGTAATAATATAAAACTATAGTACCACCACGATGTGACCACTTTTGGTCTCCCTGTACTGAGTCTATCATAATCTAGGCCCTATTCCGGCCATGGAAAAACAACTACTGGATAATTTTCCAATTTAAATACCAAAAATATTTATCCCAGACTGCAAAATAAGAATTAGGCCTAGAAATCCGTCCGCGCGTTTCTATGCTAGCCACACGGCTAGGTGGCCCCTTCATTACTCATAGTAGTAGGCCTCCTAGCTAGGGCATAGTTAATATCAGTAGGCCTGGGCCTTAGTAGTGTAGTATAGGCTAGAGTAGTGTAGGCCTAGAGGCTAGGGTAGGGCCAGTAAGGCTAGCCTACTACTCTAGGCCTAGTACGAAAATTAGCCCTTCCCTAATAATCAATCAGAGCTTACCGACTAAAACCTTCATTTTATGTTACTGCACTAAAGCTAGGTTTATTGAAAGCGTACGGTAGCTCTATTGATAAGTCAGGTATGTTTAAAATGTGGTAAGAAGACGTCGCTGAGCCACCGTATGCTGAAGTTATGCAACCAAATACAAAGTTTTATTTTGATATATAGCGCCACCGATTTGTTATCCATATATGGTTATGACACCTCCTTAAATGGAAAGTAAGCTCCCGGGTAAGCAAGAAAGGCATGCAGACAACAAGTACGGTACTTCAAATCATACTTCTGTACTAAGTAGGTAGTGAGTTACTGATAATTGCAATCCTTTGACGCCTGTTTACCGCAGCACATTTCTCTCCTTGACAGTTTTACTGCATCAACCGGTACGTTCTCTTTATATTTACTGTATTCGTCTTTTACACAACAGAAAATGTTATTCCATGGGTCGTATAGAAAGAATGGGCATAGAATACGATTGGGGAAGTTTTCCTAAGCAATTTGACATGTTTGCTTTTCACTGTTCAGGGGCGTCCCATTGCAAAACTTTTTCTTTCAATGCTTCATGATTTAGTGCTATCATTCTTACACGTTAATGCGTTAATGTATACCTTTTCTATCTGATATGACATTTTAATGGGTTTTTTTTTTTAAATTCTTTGATTTTTTTTACAAACTCAATCGAGGCCCTCATCCAGGCCCATAATGCATAAAAATAGTATAGCATCAGTAATAATAAATACAGTAATGCAATATTAAAATACTTTGTGAAAATAATAAGAACTACTGTAATATGAAACAAAGATATTGGGTATTGAAAAAAAGTAATTTCTGGCTATGTAACCATACAATTTAACTTTATAAATGTAATCATATTACAGTTTGATGTACAAAAGGCCTGGTTTTCCATTCCATTCTCAGTTTAAGGGCACAGAAAATATTATAGGATCACTCTTTTTTCTTGAAAAAGTGATGAGGGTGGGCAGTTTTGTTTGTTTTTTTTAATCGAAACAAGAGAATATTACTTTTTTATTGATAAGGGAGGGACTGTTTTTATTTATATTTGGCAAGAATATTGTACATGTTAATAAAAACTGATTTAATTTTATTGTTTTTTAAAGAAAATGTATTTTCAATCCAACAATTGCATTGTTTTTTTGCACTGTTGAAATAAATAATGCGGCAACAATTTTTTTTTAATCCCGCATCAATATTTCCCAAATTTTTGATGTGATAATCAAACATTTTTTTTCTATTTGCCCTAAAATCTTAATATTTAAAAAAAAAATTTGAAAATTAGCAAGGAATTGCTTATTAATATCATAATTGTATCCAAAGTACCTTGGCATTTTTTGACAGCAAATTTATATTACAGTAGAACCTCGAATTTACGTACGGTACGGGACCAGAGGGCGTACGTAAATCGGGGGATTCGTAAAATAGAGGTTGGGTTAAATTTGTGGTAACCTTTGACCTAATACGTACGTAACGCTCAATAAACGTACGGTACGAACGAACGATGATACCTAGGCTAGACCTAGCCTCTAGGCCTACGAATAAAGCCATGTGTTTAGGGTTCTTATTCATCACTTTACGATGTCATAATAAAGTGTTCAAATGAAACCATGTGTCTAGTGTATTAATTCATCACTTTATATCTATTATTTAACTAAAATAAAGAACATGAAAATATTGTAAGATTACCTATATGACAAAGGTATAACTTGGGAATTCCCCTTCATGCCTATTCTAAACAACAGAGATGTGGTGTTGTCTGGGCCTGTTGGCGATTTTTTTTTCCGTACGAAACATTTACATATAAACTCCACTCGGGCCGTCTCGGCTGAATCGACCCGAAAATCTCATTGCAGAATTTAGGAGGTCAAAAGGTCATCAATAGATAAACGTCTACAGAACAACTTCTGAGAGAACGTCGCTGTCTAATACATTGATGTTACCATGTTAATACCAATGGGTCGTTTAAAATGACATATAATATTTGATTAAGCTGCACGAGTAATGAAAAGTGTTATTTTAACTTGAGTTACATACTATGACAATTTTAATTTTTTAGTTAGGCCTGGGTTTTGCATAATCACCTAGGCCTACTAAAAACGCTTTCTGGGAAAAGCACAAAGAGTAAGGAAAAGCGCGTTTTTCTTCATCTGATCAAATGAAACAGAATGACAGTTATGTTCAAATTAAGAGAAGAGCTGAGAATAGGCAGCTCTAAAATACTGGGATGCCACAGACCTGCCAAAATGGCAAAACATCAATTAATGAAAGTAAAAATGAGATAGTTATTAATATTAGGCATAGTAATTGGCAGGTTCTTGATTACAAGGCTAGACCAAGTTAATTACATATGTAATGCCGAAATAATAATAATAATAATTATTATTATTATTACCTGTACGTTAAGGGGAACTTAGACAAAGGGGAAATAACACAAAAAATATTCCCCTTGGGCTAGTTATTATTTATAGGTCTAGTAAATAGTATCTGTAGGTTCTTCATTTCAAGCCTTAGGCCAAGGTAATTAATGCTAAANNNNCATGTGGTTTTAGATTATAACAACCCGGTATTAGACTCAATCAACGTTGCTGTTTAATGAAAATACGTTGCATTATGGTTTGTTTATTGTTATAGTTTATTCTTATATTCTTTTTACTATGGTTGCTCTCAAAAGGGCCGTTTGTTTTGAATATTTTCGGGGTTTTTGATGACGTCATCGTCCATACGAGGCGTACGTAAAACAGAGGGTTCGCATAACTGGGGTACGTAAAAACGAGGTTCTACTGTATATTAATTTATATTATTTCATATAGGCCTTTACATATTTTTTGACTAATTACAAGTTTGTGACCATTATAATAATTTCATATCTTTATAACATTATAATGATGATTTGTGTTTACTGGACAAAGATTTATCCATTATATTTCTTCTTAGTTGTGGGAGGGTTAATTATTACATGGGTGAATTTTTTCTTACCATATTTTCCCTTTCATTCATTGATAAACACAATTTATCTATGCCCTCTAGGGTAAAAAGAGGGTGTAACCACCCTCTTTTAGATCTTTTCCCCCAGTTTTTAAATATTCAAAAATCTGTATCTCATTAAGCGTTTTTTTTTTGTCAAACATCATTTTTGTCCTAGAAAAATCAGTTGTACAACATATAAAAAAATATTTCTTCCGGAGTCCTGGCTTAATTAAGGGGTATCCATTATTTTCTTTATTTTCACAAAAAAAAAATTACTGTGATCACAAATCATGAACCATGGTGATCAAAGCATGAAATGTTTTTCAATGTACATGCATTTGCAAATAATAAATTGTTTAAAAGCATACGCTACTCCACTCAAAATGTGTAATAAACTCTTAAATAAAATTTTTGCCTTAAAACCCTTTTCTGGTCATTAATAAAGATGATTAAAATGCTGAATATTATTTAATCAACCTTAATTGTTATTTATTCAATTTTTGTAATTCCTCGAGTGATTAATTAGTGTAATATGATATGAACTCTCATTACAGCACATGAATATGATTGATGGGGCCAATTGGAATATTTGTATTTCAGGTACACAATATCACAACCGGTATTTTTCTTTTAAATGTACAAAAATATTGTTTAAATTATGACATAGACACAGTAATACCACAACCTTTGGTACATTTTCAAAATCTTGACTTTGCAAATCATGAACAAGGTTGGCTGAGTATTGGAACGTGTGAAGCTGTGATCACAGGCACAGGTGTCTGCTGGATTGCAGCATTATTAGCATAGATTGACAATTCAAAATCTTTGTTAACTACCCATGTGATTAGATTATGGAATTTGTTACCTTTGTACTACATTCAGTACAGCCTTATTTTAAAAATCTATTTTACATTATACTGTGATAATTTCACTTTTAAATTTTGATATGTTGTGCAACTGATTATTCTCAGACACAAAAATGATGTTTGACAAAAAGCCTTTAAAACGGTTTATGAGAGATACAGTTTTTTGAATATTTAAAAACTGGGGGAAAAGGTGGCTAAAAAATGGTAGTTACGCCACTTTTTCTCCCAGTTTTTAAATATTCAAAAATCTGTATCTCATTAACACTTTGACAGCCAGGGTTTGAAAAAGTAGTATTAGCCACCGCCAGACTTTTTAGTGAATTTTAACACTTTTCCAAAGCTCATTGAGAGTGCGTATGTGATCAGATTGACATGTAGTGAATACTACAAGAACTACAAACATTTTAGCTTTACAATGGTACCAAACACTTTATTCTAATCACAGTTTGTGACCCATAACATTAAAATGAAAATGACTCACTTTTGGAGATTTACGCAATTTCGCACAACGAAGCCAAGATAATCGCGATTTCGTGAAAGTAAATCAATACCACTCTACGCTAATGTAAACAAACAAATAGTGAAATACTTACGGTCCAGACTGAATGTAGTGTTCAAATTGTTAGTACATGTTGGTAATTACCCCATCTATTGGATTCCGTAAAAAAAACCCTGAAACACGGAGACCTCCGTGTTCGGCGGTCAAGCGTTGCGTTACCAAACACAGAGATCTTCGTGTTTGGCGGGAAGAGTGTTAACCGTTCTAGAGTTTTTTTTGTCAAACACCCCTTTTTGTGTCTTAGAAATAATTAGTTGTACAACAGAGTCAAAATTTTTTCCTTTGGAATGCTAGCTTGCAAAATAACATGATGAAGTGGAGAAACAAAAAGAAAAAAAAAACAAACTTAAGAGTTATTATAAATACATCATACAGTATATCTATCGCATTGATTATGAAAACAGAGCCCTGAATAGAAACACACAAGGATCGAATTGAAAATAGCTCATTTAAATGGATTCAACCGCAAACAGATAAAAAAATATTTTTGGTTTATTTAGACTTTTCTTGAATAGATTACAAAGGCCAATTTTCTGCAAAAGAATTCATGAATAGTAATATTTATGTTTGTTAATTTGGTGGGGAGAATTCTTTTTCTCACATAGATTTTTTATTTATAAAAGTTAATAATTTACTAATGTGTAATATAATATAATATAATATATAATATTATAATAATATAATATAATTATATATATATATATAATATTGAATTGATTTTTTCGTGTTTTCCAGCTCATGACAGACAGAG